GGCGTAGATCAAAGATAACGAAGAATGATAAGAAAGGTCGGAGAGATACGAACGATGAACAAAGTACTGAGTGCATGAACTACCAGAAGACGTATAAAAAAGAAAAAAAGAAAAATCATATCCCGACTATTTCTAGTCCTCGTACGCAGAGAGATCTTTCGTACGAGGTTTATGGAATAAGGCATAACTTAGCCCCTAAAAATTTCAGCCGACTGTTCGCGATGCTTGACTCAACAAGTAACAGTTATATTTATCCAGCAAATGCAGTAAGTGTTGCAACGGTATTGAGAGATTGCTAAATTTTTTTACTCCAGGAATTCAACCGACTTGACATTGCCGTGCAAGAATTAAACAAACACCTAATATATGTACAGCCCACCGCTAAAGTAATGTGTGGTTTTACCAATCTCAACGGATGGCTTTGACCGACGATTTTTAGATGCGGACTGATTGAAAAAAGACTTCAATAGATAAAGTTGTAGCTGCAAGGGTGAAGATACATGTAAGCTACATTTTAAGTCTCGTTGCAGTCTGGCTAATCGTTCCTAGGCTTCAGAAGCAGAACATACCCATGACTGAAACCACACATTACTTCTGCTGTGGACTGTACATAAGAAATATAATTAAATTACCACTTTAAAGCTTATTTAATTTCATTTTAGCACCGTTCGAATTAAGCTAAACAACTGCCTGTATTTCGTCATAACGCTGTTAAGCCGAAGAGGAAAATTTAGCTCATAACCTTTTAAAAACACGGGTCTTACGAGTTACGACGAATGATTTAATCCAAATAAAGTCACGCTTCGCTTCGTGCTGTAAATGTTTGGCATATTCAGCACCACTCAATACCGGCTTGGCAACCGAAATATCAATCTCACTGCCCGCTAGCAAGTACAAAGTGAGCTCGCATAGTAACGGCTGATTGCACACTTTGCATAAAAAGGCACACGTGACGAAACCCAGTGCGATCCGATAATTGAACTGATAAAAGTATGGCATATAATGTTGTAATTAACCCTGACCCATGCGTTAAAAGTTCATCGCCTAGCTACTTGCTAGCCGAATCAACAGGCAGTACTCAGCCCCGCTCAGCTAAATAGCCAGCTACTCAGCCATGCGGTCAGGCAGGAGGATGAGACATGACGCAATGTGCGGGTTCACAGGGGTCGTGCGCCCGAGCGTTACTACAGAGAGATCACGGGACAGCCGGCCGGTCGGCTACATACAATGGCTTCCAGAGGAACGAGTCTGCGCGGCGACTCAGGGGAGCCGGCCTGGGGAAGGCAGCAGGGTCAACACCGGGTCAGGAACACGGACGGCAACGACCGCCGCGTGGTCAGCCCGGTCATAGGCGCTCTGGTAGAGACGCTACGGCGCGGTGAGAGAAGACTCAGAACTGTGCAACGCAGTGCAGTGGTGAGCCGGCACCTAGGTCCGAGCTCGTAAGGTGGTGCGGTGCGGCGACCATCTCAAAAGCGAGAGGGGAATGGACTGCACACAGCTTGCAATACTGAAGGACATCACTTCAGTATCCAGCAGGGTTAAATAAGCACTGCTGAAAAATTCACATCAGAGCAGAGAACGGTGGTTACTGAGCCACTGACAGGACGGGTGGCTCATAGCCGACGATCAGCCATCCACCTCAAGCCGGCACTGGCGCCCGAGCCGGCGCGGGTTCCGCAGCACTCACCCGCTTCAGCTGCCGCTGTCGGCGCCAGTGTATGATGGCGTTGGCCGCTGCCATCGCCTCAATCACAAACGTCACCGTCAGGTAGCTGTCAGTGGAAAGAGCGCGATGTCAGACTCTGAGAGCACTGAGAGCACATGACTAGTTAGTGACTATCACAAAGATAGCTGTCTCAGATACATCAAACAGCCATGAAACAACAGGTTTACACACTCATTGAGAATATTTGAGAATATGATGAGTCAAATAGCACGGTTCGATGATATGTGACAGAGGTAATATTTTATGAATTCATCAGACATACCTCATGAAGGACAGCATGATGATCAGGCAGAGGCTGAGAGCCCATCCAGCCTCCAGGAAGGCAGCGGGCAGAGTCAGGGCACCAGTACCCACTATCAGATTGAACACATACACCAAGCCCATCTGGAGAAGAAGAAAAAAGATCAACAAGGTCCTCAGATCCAATACATAGTATTTGTATCCATAAAGGAATAAGAAGAGGTCCTCCATATTACAAGCATATGAGCTTACTTTTTAGACTTCACATCCAGTGAGCTTGAAATATTACACTTACTTAATTACCTACAGGCATGCATTGTCCAATATCCTAATGTTAACACACTTTTTGAAATTTTATCACAGTTCATTTAGAAACAAAATCAAAATCAATATATGTGAAACCTCTATGATATGACACAAGCATGATATGGTAAGTGGTATCTTAGGAGTTAGGGTAATGCACTAGAGCCAAAACTAAATGTCTTCTTATATTCACTGGCATGAAGTTAGTTTGTACCTTGCTAAATGCTTATCATTTTACACTAGCAGAAATAACACCCTGCTCATAATGAATGCTTGCAAAAATTACAATTATTGTAATTGAAACAGTTTATGTTATGCAAGTAATGCTTCAAAAAGACACTCACCAAAGGAGAATAGCCATTTTCATCATCCACCACAGGTGCAGGCATGACTGATAATCTTTTGTCTCTTTTGTCAGTTGCTTGAGTAAAATATTCTGCAATGACATGAATAATTTATGTCAATGCTCATCTATCATCAAATCACTACAAAAACTATAAATCTACACTAGTGAGAGGACAAAACAGTGAATAAAGTTCAAATCTTCCCTGGCCAGCCCTGCTGAGATGAATCATTGGCCAGGCAATGCCACACCCTGCGCAGCAGTTCAGCACAGGAGCTATATTAATCGCCCCACAAATCTTGCACCAATTAAAAAAGTCATATGATGAAGGAGCACTTTTCTTTTAGTCAGTGAAGCACAAGATAACATCATTATTTCCAATATAACTTACAAATTGACTACACATCAAGCTTTGCCAGTAGCACTGCTGCCTTTCATTAAGTAGTTTACACTCTCATGCAATCAGAGCTTTGAATCATAAGGTAATAAGTGCAGAGGTATCTGGTCCATCTATTTGATGACATCACTGGTAACTGTAACAGCACAGTAGGTGAGATTAGGTTTTGATAGGTTTGATTAGGTTTGGTTTGATTAAATTTGGCTAAGCAAGGTTGGGTTACCTTAGGTTAGGTCAGGTTAGGTTAGTTTTTGTTGTTTTATTTCATTTAAACATTGGGAGAGGGATGGGAGAGGGATGAGGGATCATCCCTTAGAGAAGCATGAGCAGCAGTGTGTTTGTGATGGTTTTCCATGGTTACTTTATGATTTCTGAGCATATGGTGATGCAGCTAGCATTGCTACAATTTACAAATGCATGTTGCAATTGTAGCATTTTTCATCCAGCATTCCCAGTCCACTAAGGGCCTGCATCATTCAACAAAAATTCTGCACTGCACTATAATTATGGTAAATCCTCACTAACCACAGACCAGTAGTGGCACAGGAACTACTTTCAGGCTGGGGTGGGGGGGGGGGGGGGAGAAGGGACATATCTAATATTTCCCAGTTCCCGGAACCTAGAGTATCCCCAAATCTAATTTTCTTACCAGTTTTAGGCCATTTATTTTTCACCCCTTGGCCTTATCAACAAAACGAACAAAATGAGAACATTTGCAAAAAAACATGTAATCTGTCTCAACTGAGTTGAGGAAAAGTTGTGGGGCAGACTGCCCCCACTGCCCCACACCTATGTACACCAGCAGCACGCCCCTGCACCCACAAAATCTTATCAAGAATCCCCTACTTTGCAGCCTTGATCTGGATTCAGCAAATACAAAAATAGCCATCCATTGGAAAATGTATTTCGAATGAGGCAAAAAATAGCCACAACCAGTCATTTTAGCTGATAAAATTGGCCTCAAGTCTCATCCTCATTCCCCAATCATTAACAAGGGTAATGAATCACTACGAAGAAGCACACACTTTGACTTTCAAAAAAGACAAAGAAGCCAAAAAATAGGTTGAAGTAGAAGGAAAAAACGATACAATTGTAACAAAAAAAAATAATTAAAGTGACATGACAAAAAATAAAATAGAATGTGGGCAAATTAAATACAATAAATACATTCAAACAAGACTGAAACAAAATTTTAAAAAACCTACAGCATGCTCACGACTCATTACGATATGTATGCAGTCAAATGATGCTTGACTTAACTTGGAATCAAATCGACACATTTAAATTAAAGGAAATAGTTCACTTTTAACATGGGGTTTTGAGCTGGAATAGCAGTTTCGTAGCTTGAGCTGAGACTAGCACAAATCAGGAGCTTTTACGGCTCAACGATCACCCTAGACGAAGATATTCCATTTCTCGTTCCGAAAAGAGTGCCTTGTAGAGGAATGCGTGCCTTGCACAGGAATGCAGCCACGTCATCGTCAGCCAATCAGCGTGCTGCTTACAGCCAATGCAGTATGCATAGGTTTGAGCTACGCAATATGATTGGTCAATGCGTAATAAGCTTCCGCGTCAAACATTATTTTACATAGAATATAGTTCGTCCTATATTAAAATATAGAAAATAATTGTTTTTACAAAAAGGTTTTATTTTATTTCATGATTATTTTGAGCATAAAAAATCATAAATCAATAGCAAAATACTGATTTCAGGAAAGTGGACTGTTTCCTTTAAATAATAACAAAAAAATATGGAGTGTCACCAGATATTAACGAAAAACATCCTACCATCCACCTTGAAACACAACTCACACAAAATCGCTTGCAAAACCCACAAAAGGAACTTGAGAACTGGGGGGAGAGTGGGTATAAACAATGTTTGCGCCATTCTTTACCAGCGCCACAAGCGCCCTAGTGCAGTTTATATATGAATTATTGCTATTCATCGCATAAAAAGTCTAAGTTGCTTTGAAATAATTGTGCAAAGTACCTAAATAAGCGCATGGAAAACGTAGGGTCATTTTTTTAGTATGTTTAATATTAAATCATTTTTATCGGCAATAATTCAGGCCTCCTCCAATAGTTATTGATGAAATTAGTTTACGAGTTTTACGATAGATGTCACTAGCACTCAGCGGGAGCTAAGCAGACGATTGATGTGCCGTGCTGTTACTGATTAATTTCATAGTTAATTTGTATGCATTTAGAAATGGTTTAGAAAGTTTAGGGAAATAGACAACACGAGTGTCGATTCTACGATATACCTACCATAGTCGATTGCAAGACGCCCAGTGACAAGGATTCCGAGCCATGTCTTACCGCGATCTGAGAAGTGAGTACCTAGGTTTGCCCTACCTACCTACCAACCATTTGTTTTATTGCAATTTTCCTCAAGTTTGTTAATGTTTAATAGTTATTGGTGAAAACAGAAAGAGCTATTGTTACTTAGAGACTGGTTGGCCTTGTCAGTTATCGTTATGTTGAACTTAGCCGTGTTGTAGGCGCGAGAGGAGCTGGCATCCGTCCGGCCCCAAATGTAGGCACCGGGAACTGCATGTCTTTAAATAACGGTCAACGGCTACATCAATTATCTCATAGACAGTGGCGGATCTAGGATTTCGTCAAGGGGAAGGGGGCATACGGTATTGTGGCGCCCCCTGGCATCTGGTGCCTCCCCCCCCCCAAAAAAAAATCCACGGATTTCGGCCACTTACTTTTCGGAATGGTGCCCCCTCTGACCATAGGAGAGTGCTCCTTCAGACCTCGGATTTCGGAATGGTGCCCCCGGAGACCTCAGAATGGTGCGCCCCCAGAGAGAGACAGACTTCGGGATGGTGCCCCCGGAGACTTCGGGACGGTGCACCCTCTGCCCTCAGACCTCGGGATGGTGCCCCTTCCGACCTTGGGATGGTGCCCACGGAGAACTCGGGATAGTGCCCACGGAGAACTCGAGATGGTGCCCCCGCGCAGTAGCGGCGGAACACCTTCAATTAAGGGGGGAGGCACTGCCGACTTTTGGTCCCATTCTTTCCATGCAACGTCCATAGGGCTAATGTTAAAATGCCAAAATCAAAGGGGGGCACGGTGCCCCGGTGCCCTCCCCGTTCCGCCGCCTATGCCCCCGCGGACCTCGGGAATCGGGATGGAAATGGCCCCACCCGAGGCGAGGGATAGAAATGGGGCTCCAGGCTCCTGGAGACCCCGAAAACGGTACCCTATTCTGATAGACCTTCTGGATGGTGCCCCCTCAAGAGACCTCTGGGTTAAAGTCGGTGACCTTCGTGATGAATTAAAAAAAAACTCCGTGATGGTGCCCCCCGGGAGGCCCATGGCCCCCATGCCCCCCCCCCCCCCTGGATCCGCCACTGCTCATAGACATAAATAGTTCCATGAGAGTCATTAGAAGGAAATACACAAGCGCAGAATAGCACTCGATGGGTCTCGCCGGGTACATTTGAAGGTATTTAGGTATTAGGTAACATAGCAACGGCCCATGCTAAATGAGGTCACAGAAGGTCATCAAGGGTAAAATTTTGTGATTGCCCAAGTGAGGCCGATAAGATAATAGATGACGCTGTGGGCTGTGGCTGGTAAACTATGAGGTCTCAATCTAGTATGGCGTGAAAAAGAAGCCGATCGGTCGTTCTTTATTTTTTTCCGGATGTCAGATGTCAGGACCTCATTAACTGTTTGGCTTGCGGAGGTCAAGTCTGTACAATTTGACCGACTTTCACCTGTGCCGTCTTTCGATAACTTACTACACTCGCTGTAGCTACGATTTACGAAAGCAATTTAACTACCATTGCGCTCCTTTTCAGCCCTCGCCGGGGTAGTGGTGCCATTGTGACACATGGAGGCGGAGGAGGGACGTTTCGCGATCCTTGGCCATATACCCCTTTTACTCGGCTCCTGATCTTATGGGCTGCGTAGCGACATGCAGCAAGATTTGCTGGAAATTGCGTCAAAGAAAGAGCGTCATGAATAAAGTATCTGCTCTGGTCATTCCTAAGATCGGCTCAAAGGTCAGGACACCCCAAACATGCAAGTGTCATTGAAGGTGAAATTTAATTATCCGATGTTGACGATATCGGACAAATAGACCCAAAGCTCGTTAACTTATAGAGTTAGAATAGGTATCCCTGCAAAAAAATATTAGATGGCTGTGTTAAACCTTACAACGCCGTCCCCTATCGTGTCATCGGATCTTACCTTAGGACGGTTTGGCACCCCGTCAAAATTGACGGGGCAAAATCCGTCAGAATGGACGTTTTGTAGAGTTACGTTTTTCTGCAAAACTTTCAACACGAAGTCTGCATCTGTCAGATTTTGCAAGCATCGTGTTTTCTCGTTGAGATGTGCCGAATGAACTAGGTACAATCTAATCTTAAATTTGTGCTTGAAAACTTGACCCAATGTTTGACAAATTCTACTCAGGTATTGAGACTCAGGCGGATAGATCGTGTTATCACTCGATTCGGAGCGTTGATATGAGCTGTGAACACGTCTAAGGTGTTTTTACCCGCGCCCAAGTGTGGGGGGGTGTTTGAACACCCCCCTCCGGTTTTTCGTAGATATCTCAAAAACGGCGGCGCTCCGCGCCGCCGTTTTTGGTACACCTTACATACATCAATTCTACACATGTTGTGAAAATTTCAGACCAAGGTCATTCAAGGTCAGGTCACCAGGTCGCTTGAAGTGACCTCACCTCATAAAAAGTTTCAATGTCTGCCATAGCTACACCGAGTGACCGATTACTTTGAAACTTTCAGCGATTGACGAGGGTAACAGTATCTATAAAATGTATATCTCGAAATTTTGATATCGGTGACCTAAGGTCAGGTCAATTTTGCGGCCTCTCCATTATAGGCCCGAACACAGCACACGCTTGCAAATCGCGTCGAACTCGTCAAGCGCGGAAATCGCTTCGTTCGCTGTGTTTTCACTTGCGATTCAGCTCACAACGGGTGAGACTAAATGCTTACTTCGAAATCTAAGCTGCGTTGCGGCATTGGTGGTTATGTGCGGCGTGTATGCCGCATGATTAGTAAGCGGCGACCACTAAATTAAAGACTCCAACGCTCCGACCGGTTTTCAATGAATAACACTGCACAGTGCACACACCAAAAATGCCAACCGCTCTCGTCATAAGATATTTAGCTTTAAATAACTAGGTTATCTACATCATCATTTTGAACCAAATTAATACCTACTTTCAACTTATCTCACTCATTCCTTCCTTTGGTGGCTCCAAACAGTCTTTCGATTGTCTGGAAATCGTATGCTAAATCCCGTACCTGTATGCGACTGGTGCATATAAAGGTCGATGTAAGAATTTGAATGGGCTCTCGCATGCGATTTCCTGGCTACCCAAAAATGTATGTTTCAGTCATGCTATCAAAACATGGTATGTCAGCCCAGTCACCGGCTTATGGTGCTCTGCTTCACACAGAAAAATATTAACACCGTTAGCGGTGTAATTGCACAATACATATCTGAGCACTTGAGGAAAGTTAATTTAGTCCCTTCCCCGCTTAAATTACTCGCGCTTCCAAATGAACACCAGGAAGAAGGTAATAAAGCACTGTTAGGAGGGTTGGGTGTTTTGCTACATCACACAGAAAAATATTGACACCGTTAGCGGTGTAATTGCACAGTACATATCTGAGCACTTGAGGAAAGTTAATTTAGTCCCTTCCCCGCTTAAATTACTCGCGCTTCCAAATGAACACCAGGAAGAAGGTAATAGAACACTGTTAGGAGGGTTGGGTGTTACTACATGTAGCAAAACACCCAACCCTCCTAACAGTGTTCTATTACCTTCTTCCTGGTGTTCATTTGGAAGCGCGAGTAATTTAAGCGGGGAAGGGACTAAATTAACTTTCCTCAAGTGCTCAGATATGTACTGTGCAATTACACCGCTAACGGTGTTAATATTTTTCTGTGTGATGTAGTAAAACACCCAACCCTCCTAACAGTGTTCTATTACCTTCTTCCTGGTGTTCATTTGGAAGCGCGAGTAATTTAAGCGGGGAAGGGACTAAATTAACTTTCCTCAAGTGCTCAGATATGTACTGTGCAATTACACCGCTAACGGTGTCAATATTTTTCTGTGTGTTGTATGTAGTGCCCCTGACCGTCACCGACTCTCTTCCCTCCTGAACCCTCGCCCGTATTGGTGTTTTTCCAGCCGCGAACGTATAAGGGGGGGGGGTCCGTTGGACCCCTCCTTGCCGTTTGGCCGGATCGAGCTAGAGATTCGCAGAAAAAACGAGCGTGTTGCCCGTGACGAAACGAAGCCGATGATACCCTCGCCGGCACAGGCCATTTTGCGTCCTTCGACGACGGGTGGTACGACCCCCCTCGCGTTTGGCCCCTGATCGAGCTAGAGCCTTGCGAAAAAAAACGATCGTGTTGCCCGTTTTGAGAGGAAGCCGATGATATCCAAGTTTAGGGTCCTAGGTCATCGGGTGACCTTCCAGGTCAGGTCAATGACCCGAAAATCGGGAAAATTGGGACCAGTTAGAAAGTCGTAAAATGTGGCTGCCATGGGGTTTTCCGGGGTGCTGATCACGAATATTGTGTTAGTTTTGATCAGAGATGACGTCTTTAAGCATTTAGACCAGGTCGGTCAGGTCAGGTCAGGTCAACCGGTAGGGGTCGTGACGGGTATTCGTAATACGTGTCAACCGCTTCTGCAGCTTCGTAACATGTTACGAATGCACCAAAACTACTTCGTAAATGTTCAAATTGTTGCTAAATTCGAAATCAGCTCTAAAAACTAGCCTAGAAACATGTAAAACTCGAAAAAGTGAACCGAGGTCACCAAAGGTCAATTACCTGACCTGACCTTCAGGTGACCTTGACACCCACCCTAATGCATGGGAGCAACATTAAATCACATGTTTGAACGTTTGATACCACGAAAAGCTTGCAAACGCGCGGCTAATGCGAGCCGACATACGCCGAATCGCGATTCCGGCCAAACATGGTCTCGGAAAGTAGGCCACAGGTCAAAGGTCATTTGGGTCAGGGTCATGAAATTTTTAGGGTGGGTGTAAAATTGATCAATGCGAGGGTACTGATTACTGAAAGTTTCGTTGCGATCGGCCACTTTTTACGCGAGTTATTTGCGAAAAACCTTAGGGGGTTGAATCAACCCCCCTCTGCCGGCGAGGGTTGAAAGTATTAATTTAGTGGTTGCCGCTTACTAATCATGCGGCAAACACGCCGCACATAACCGCCAATGCCGCAACTCAGCTTAGATTTCGAAGTAAGCATTTAGTCTCACCCCTCACAACTCGCGTCGAAAACGCGTCCCGCTTGGAAAACGCTTTGCGCTCCCAACTCGCGGCTGAAACGCGTTGATTATTGATTACACTTGACCTTTGCTCGTGACATCTTAGCTGTGTTCCGGCCTTATAAGTCAATAGGAGAAAATTGAAAAGCGTCTGTTTTGCCCGAACGCTATTCTAGACACTCTCAAACATCGAGATGTAGGTAAAATTGACACACTGAACCGGAAAATGGCAACTGTGACCCCTCGTTATGTCCCCGAGGTCATCTCAGGTCACGAACATAATCTAACAGTTTTTCGCTAATAACTTCTGATAGAGGCGTGCTAGAGCGCTGAGAACGCCTTAGATGTGTTCGGCTCGACGTTGCGGATCGACTGATATGCAACATGACCTTTTCCGGTCAGGTCATGACCTTGACCTGAGGTCAAATTTTCAAGTACCGCTGCCACCAATGTTGGACGGCGAAAGGCCGCCATCGGAGACGGGTCCGGCGCAACGTCCGGCAAAGACGGTGGCGGAGAAGTGAGTGAGTGTATTCACGGAAACATAGGTTTTTATGGGGTGTCGGGACGCCGTCACGTGACCGGGTGGCCGACGGCCAAGAGCCGACGGTCCCGTGTTGCTGGGCGCCCCAGACACCCAGACGGAAGACAGAAGTGAGCCAGACGGTGAAAAAGAGAGTCTAGACAAGATAGGGAATTGGGGCCTCCATCGGGGAGTGGGAGGCCATGATTTCGTTCTCCACACAAGGTCAACTTATAGTTCATTCGACGCGTCTCGACGAGAGGAACACGATGCTGGCAAAAGTAATGTCATGGCTCTTTTGAGTCAAAAGTTATCGCCAAAAACCCGATTTTCGTAAAAACGGCTATTTTTGGAGTTTTTGCCCTCTGGAGGCTAAACCGTTGACCTGAGGTCAAATCTGAGAACATTACTCAGAAAGGTCTGTAAAAGGGCTATCGAATGCGCTTTTCTGCGGCGCTGTAGCTCTATCGGTTCCCGAGATAGCCGTTGGCAGTTTCCAAAATGTTGAAATAGTCAACATTTTACCTTTGGTGACCTCTGGTGACCTGACCTTTGACCTGACCCAACAAATGACCGAAGTGTTTTCGTCCTTATTTTGGACGTTCTTTCGATTGCCGCTTACCGCGTGTCGATGCGTGGCCCAGGAGCCGAGTTAGAAGGGGGTGTTCCAACACCCCACCCCCCCCCCCCACACACACACACACCAGGTCGTGGAAAATCCAGACTGACACTGGGGCGCGGGCTAATCGCTAGTGTCTCTAAAAAGGTTCGGGACAAAAAAAATGCTGGTTACCTTTCTTTACCTAGCATGATCTTACCCATAGACGTATAGGTAGGTAAGTTGGATCAGAAGTGTAAATATTTACCTTACAAACGATCTCGATATTAAAGCATGAAGCCCATGAATCACGTTGCATGTTCAGCCCACCGCTAAAGTAATGTAGGGTTTTACCAATCTCAACGGTTGGCTTTGACTGGCGATTGTTTAAATGCGGAGTGATCGAAAAGAAGATGTCAATAGCTAAAGTTGCAGCTGCAAGGGTGACGATCAGGGATGCGGAGCCGGAGCCGGAGTCGGAGCCGGAGCCGCCGGAGCCGGCATATTTTGCCCGGAGCCGGAGCCGGAGCCGGAGCCGTGAAACAATATAGTCCGGAGCCGGAGCCGGAGCCGGAGCCGCCAAAAAAGGGGGCGACTCCGGCTCCTTTTTATTTTTTGAAGAGGAAAAAAATAATTGACCTAGTTCGGTTTGACAGTACAAGGCAGTAAAACATGGTACTTACGTCATGGGCCATCAAGTGAATGAAAAAAGCCGAATATCCCCAGTATCCCACAGTACGCAATCAATCAACTTCTTGTCTGCTCCTCCCCCCCCCCCCCCACGTCTACTGCATCCCCAGAGCATGAGGACCGGTCATCAGGTGACGGCCATTGTTTTCAAGCCAGTGCAGTGGACTGCGACTCCCAGCACCGTCTCTTCCCCTCCCCCACCCCACCCCCAATGCAGCCGAGACTGGTGTCAGCTTACGATGGTTCAGTGAACTCCAATTCGCGGCGACTGCGTTTCCAATGCCATCGCTTCCTAGTTCTTTGTTCTGCCAGTTCTCTCCGAGGTGCGTTTGCGCGGGGACGCGGTGAGCCGGTCATGGCAAAGAGTAACGCGTATAACCAATCCAATGTTTCTTCCACCCGTATTTAATTGATTGCATAGGGGATGTACTGAGTCGGAGCCGGAGCCGCCGGAGCCGGAGCCGCCGGAGCCGGACCATTTTACTCGGAGCCGGAGCCGGAGCCGGAGCCGCCACAACATTTCACCCGGAGCCGGAGCCGGAGCCGGAGCCGATTTTTTTCTCCGGAGCCGGAGCCGGAGCCGGAGCCGTCTGAAATTTCCACGGCTCCGCATCCCTGGTGACGATACATATAAGCTACATTCAAAGTTTCATTGTAGTCTGGCTAATCGTTCCTAAGCTTCAGAAGCAGAACATGCCCATGACTGAAACCCCACATTACTTCTGCTGTGGACTGTACGTACATAATATTCGTCACGACGAATAAGCTCTGAAAGCAAGACAGGCATTAAGTGATATATTATATTTCAGATTCCACTTAGATAAAAAAAAAACAACACGGCGGGGTTCTCTTGTGCGCCCGCTAAATCATGTAATTCAGGTGAAGATCCTACATGGATTGGGAGTTGAGAAGCACTGAGGGTAATAGTTTCAACTCTCATAGGCCAGTTTGGAACAGATTGTCACTCCAAAAGCGATGTGAGGGATGTGACGCAACCAAGCCTCGTTTTTACTCCCGGTCAGCAGTTTTATAAGATGCGTTTTTCCTTCCTCCTCCCTCCCCCGCCCCACAATAAACTTACGATATAATTTTGTATGTTCAAAAGTTTCACCACAACTTCCGCTTCAAATTGTAATAAATACCTACCTCCCAGGCAATGGCAAATGCCATAGGTCAACTGATAACCACGGTGTCTATCAATGCTATAGGAGATTTTGCAATTGATTGTGCACAATTTACGAGTCAGCCAGACCAAGTTGACTCGTAATGCCCCCTTTGGGCATGCCCCAAAAGCAATTTGGAACGACCAGTGACTAGAGCTGGCTGAAAGTGACTGCTGTACGCATTGTACACTCGTTATACGCTTTGATGGCCTCCGGTAGATCACAGGCATGCCTAATATCGAACGATATACCTATTCATTTGAATCTGCATTTTTGACACGGCGCAAGTGATTTTTACAGAAGCATATCTGATGTTCTTGTGGACCAGACTATAAATAAGCGAAAGCACCTACTTATACCTCGCTTATGCCGATTACGAATGGCCTTGGTTGAAAGACGTTATTAGTAACTGTATGATGCAATTTATATGGAGATATATGAGCTGCTTATCTATCTAAATAGCCAACTCTGAGAGCTTTCAGTTTGTTTGGTCTCGTCTCCAGCGGTTTTCGTAATGTAAGGGTATATACGATGCAGATTAAAGCTCATTTTCTTTGCCACTGATAGATGCCTGTCTTGCTTTCAGACTAGTTCTTGCTGCCTGGTCTGGCTGACTCGATCAACTAAAACGCCAACATGTTTATATACTTGAGCAAAAAGATCGCCATCCCCAACAACATCCAGCTCAGCGTGATATCATGGAACAAAGCGGAGGGCTTCATAGCATGTGGTGGGGACGATGGCTTGTTGAAAGTTTTGAAACTGGAGGCACCGGATGACCAGAAGATCAAAGGTTTGGCTGCAGCCTCCAACCTGTCCATGAATCAGACGTTGGAGGGTCATTCGGGCCGAATCCAAGTGATCACCTGGAACCAGATCCACCAAAAGCTGACCACCAGTGATCAGGATGGTCTCATTATCGTCTGGATGCTCTACAAAGGCTCTTGGTACGAGGAGATGATCAACAACCGCAACAAGTCGGTGGTTACTGGTATGGCGTGGAACTCCGAAGGCGAGAAAATCTGTATCGTTTATGAGGACGGAGCAGTCATTGTCGGCTCCGTAGATGGCAACCGTATATGGGGCAAGGAGCTGAAGGGCCAGTCCTTTACAGGAGTCGAGTGGTCACCAGATGGAAATGTGCTTCTGTTTTCGATCGGCACGGGTGAGGTGCACCTGTACGATAGCCAGGGCGAGTTCCTCAACAAGATGATTATCATGTGTCACGGCCAAAACTCGACTGGCTATGTGCGTATCGTCAACCTGCGCTGGTACAATGGCCGGTTCGGCTACATCGAGCCTGAATGCCCCTCTCTGTTCGTCTGCTACGAAGACGGCAAAGTACAGATCATGCGCAGCGAAAGTGACGACAAACCGGTCATCATCGACGCCGGCATGGCGGTCTCCGACTGTCAGTGGAACCACAACGGCACAATGCTAGCTGTGGCCGGCAACATCAACGCAGCCCAGTCGGGAGAGAAGGACTGCAACGCCGTCATGTTCTTCTCACCGTTCGGTGATCATGTGCGCACGCTGAAGGTTCCAGGCCGCCAGCTAGCCTCGGTTGCGTGGGAAGGCCGTTCACTGAGACTCTCACTCGCAGTCGATTCTTTCATCTACTTCGCAAACATCCGGCCAGACTACAAGTGGTGCTACTTCCTGAACACAGTGGTCTACACTTACCTGTCGCCTGGTAAAGCAGACTACAATGTCATCTTCTGGGACGTCAAGAACAACGAGAAGTACCACAAACCGTCGCCCATTGTGCTGGCCATGGCTGCTTCTGACGAGCACTGCTGCATTCTGGTGCGAAAGGACGACCAAGACCTCAAGTTCGGGATGATGCTATGCAACGCCATCGGCACGCCAGTCGACTCGCGTTACACAGATGTGGAGCTACGCTATGTCACGATGACCAAAACTCACGTGTTCGCAGCGTCCCGTGAGTCTTTTTTCGTCTGGCATTACCACACGCCCAAGGGTATCTCGGCAAGAGACATAGCCACAACACAGTCAGATGATCAGAAAACCAAGGAACGCGTCTATCATGTAGACGACATGATCTCGGGAGTGGAAACTTCGCGACACTATGAGCGTCAAGCCGCCCGTAAGCATACCAACGACCCGATCACCTGTCTCGCAAGTCATGAGACGATGCTGCTCATCGCACGTGAGTCGGGTGTGGTGCAAGTGTACATGCTGCCGCAACTCATCTTCAGCAACCGCTACACGGTTGAGTGCCGTCCGCAGAAGATCGCAGTGAACTGCGATGCGACGCGCATTTCGCTCATCGACGTGACTGGCATCCTATACTTCTTTGACCTCGAAAGAAATGACCCTGAGAAGGGAAAACGTGCTGGTGAGCTGGTCAAGTTCGAGCGCAAAGACGTGTGGGACTTGATCTGGGCTGAGGATAATGCCGACATGTGCGCACTGATGGAGAAGACGCGCATGCTTGTGTTCCGAAACCTGGACCCGGAGGAGCCTGTGGCCAGCTCTGGATACCTGTGTAGGTTCAAGGACCTGGAGGTGACCACTGTTCAGCTTGATGAGGTGCTGATTAGACCTGATCGTCCTCATCCTAAGCTGGTGGCGCAGCTCGAAAGCAAGGCCATGAGAGACACCAAGGAGATCCTGGAGAACACCGGTCTGAAAGAGGCACAAGAGTTCGTCGAGGAGAATCCTCATCCTCGACTGTGGAGGCTCATCGGCGAGGCAGCACTAGAAATGCTTGAAACTGAGGTCGCGGAAACAGCTTTTGTGCGCTGTAAGGACTATCCTGCCATTCAGTTTGCGAAACGACTCAACAACATCTCCTCAGAGAATATCAAGCAGGCTGAGGTACTTGCCTACTTCGGTGAGTTTGAGGACAGCGAGAAAGCGTTTCTTGATGCTGATCGACGCGACCTCGCCATCGATCTGCACCGCAAGATGGGCAACTGGTTCCGTGTGGTCCAGCTTCTGAAAACGGGTGTTGGAGGCGATGATATGCTGATGCATATTGCGCTCAACAAGATCGGAGACTTCTACGCCGACAACCTCAAATGGGACCAGGCAGCGAAGTACTACGAACAGGTAAACCAGAACGAAGAACGGCTCTGCAAGTGTTACTACCTGATGGAAGACTACCAAAAGCTGGAGGAACTGGTGGAGAACATCGCAGAGAATCACAAGGCCCTACCCGAAATCGCCAAGATGTTTGCGTCGGTGGGCCTTTGCGAGCCGGCGGTCAAGGCCTACCAGAAATGCCACAAGGATAAGGAAGCCGTCGAAGTGTGCATGTATCTCAACAACTGGCGCTACGCTGTAGAACTGGCGCGCACCACAAACATCCAGGACACGGGCTCGTACCTAGCCAAGTACGCGCAGTACCTCTTGTCGAAGAACAAGCGGATCCAAGCAATCGAACTGTTCAGGAAGGCTGGTTACTTCCTAGAGGCAGCCAAACTGCTCTTCCAGCTCACTGACCTCGAGGTGAAGAAAGGTTCCAAACCGATGAGGATCAAGAAGATGTATGTCCTCGCCGCCCTGATGGTCCAACAACACAACGAAAAGATGATGAACGCAAAGGGCAAAGGACTGGGTCAAAAGAGTTCGGTAATGCTGGGTCTGATGGAGGCAGAAAATCAGTCTGCGCTTGGAGACCTGCGCGTGCTAGACAACGCATGGAAAGGTGCTGAAGCGTACCACTTCTTCCTGTTGGCTCAGAGACAGCTGTACGAGGGCGCCCGTGATGCTGCTATGAAGACAGCCCTTCATCTGCGTGACTACGAGACGATCCTGCCACTGGCTGACGTCTACAGTCTGCTAGCTCTATCCAGCTGCGCCAACAGTGCGTTCTCGACGACCTCGAAGGCTTTCATCCGGCTGGAAAGCCTGCCTGACGCCACACCGGAGGAGCGTCAGGCTTATGAGGATCTCGCTATGGAGATCTTCATGAAGTACAGTCCCAAGGACTCCAAGAGCAACCGTGCCGAGTGCATTCACTGCGAGACGATGATTCCCGACTGGGTAACGATCTGCCCATCATGTGGCACACGGTTCCCGTCTTGCATCGCGTCCGGCCGGCCCATCATGGACCCGAACCAGGCCTGGGAGTGCCCCACGTGCAAGCATCAGGCGTTCGAGAGCGAGATCACAGTGCGTCAGACCTGTCCGCTCTGCCACGCGCCAGTGTATGCTGCCGAGTGAGACCGATCCTGACGTGATCGGCATGTCAGTCATGGCAGTCAGGATGGCAGCTGTGACAGGTTGTTGGTGGCAGCAGTGTCTCAGGTTGTGTTTCGTGGGGACTTTCAGCTACTGGCAAGTAGTCAACCGCTTATGTAGAAATGTTTTGCTCCCTTTGTTCTTTACGTTATATCATGGAAAGTGAAAGGAGCACTCCAGGGATGAAACCGACGCTACAGTAGCTAGAACTGAACGATACTGAACGAGAGCACGGGATGGTCTGATTTAACGCAGCTTATAGTGTGCAACGGAATGTGCATTTATTTATTCTATCTCAAGTCAGTACGATATAGCATTATCACTCTCGATGAAGTTTTTTCGAGGAGCAATACACTGAGTGTATATGAATCGTTTTCTGTTTGATTAAGTTCATGCACACGACTCGCAGCCATCGATGATTCCAAAGGCGTCTCGAGAAGGGATTTTGTAGGTAGGCACAATTAGCAATTAAAAGGAGTTATAGAGCAAACGAAGCTGATGCTCAAACCGTTAATATTGTATTGTAACCCACGATGGGTAGATTCGGTTTTGGGGCAACAGATTGTGTTTTCTAAATTGTCGGGCATTCTGTCCCATTTTGAGCTAATGAAAAAGATTTAACAAATTCTTTGAGGAAAGGCATTTTTTGTAAGCAATGCATAATTCAGGAGGACATTGAGAAGTGATTGGAAAATAACTAGGTAGATCAGGTCATGTTGCGTGTAATTTTTAAGTCCCGCGGCCAGGTTCAAAGTCACATGTTTGTGGGCAATAACATGAAATAGACGTTGTTAATGGGGCATTCCACGTCAAGTGGGACAAAAAATGATCATTTTGAACCTCACCTCCTCCGGTTTTTGCGAAACTTTGTGAAACTACTCATTTTCATGTGAAAAGAAAGGAGACATATTTTTGTCAAGATATGACGTCACGTTTTCGAGATACACGTCATCAAACATTGACTTAGGCAAGGCACATTATCATCTTTAAAGCGCCATAACCATTGACATTTTAGACATATCACCACGAGACAAAGTGTGAAATGGAGGGGATAGGTCAGGCTTTAATTTGAGGATAACAATATTGACGTAATTAACTAATTAGTGAACTTAATTAAAATTCAAAAAATAAATTTTGATTTTCTGAAAAATGGGTACCCTTCGATTTTGCTGATTTTTACATATTTTATTCTCCTATGCATTTGCTACATCATATAAAAAATCCAGAATGGGCCGACGTCTACGTAACTGTCTTTTGGACTTCGTAATGTCTGGCACTCGCGTGTTTCGTTTTAGCAACCAAGGAGAGGCGCTACCCGGAGATGCCTCTTTCCATAGGCGGCGGAACGATTTGAGACAAGGGGGGGCACCAGCTCAAGGGGCCAAACCTAGGGTACCCCCAAATCCTGTTTTCTCATCGGATTTAGGCCACTTATTTTTCGTCACAGCCCTGACACGATGATTTTTTATTTTTTTATTTTTTTTTTACTAAACGAAAATGGCAGAACACCCCCATATGTGTGGTTAACTTTAAGCTGATCCTCAAGTACCTATGTGTTTGTCTCTTCCTTATTCTCGTTTGATAAATTCCATTAACCCTCGCCCGACGAGGGGGGTTGATGCAACCCCCCTAAAGTTTTTCGCAAATAACGTAAAAACGGCGGCGCGTAGCGCCGCCAAATTTGGCATACCCTCTGGGGCAACATTTTCGCACCTTTCCTGAAAATTTGAAGTCCCAGTCTTTTCAGGTCAGGTCACCAGGTCAGAAAAACCGGTACAAGGTCAGGGGAAAATTGGACTAGCTTAGCGGCAACTGAATTCCAAAGTTCACTAAAATTGGTAACAAAGTATACCATTCGATGCGCTCTGACGTCCTGAGTTCACTGGTGCTTTTATTTTTGCTCTATCTTTGCTAGGTAAAAAGTTATAAGCGAAAAACTTTTAACATGTTTAAGCAAAATTTTTGCATTCATACCCCCAAAACTCCCTAAATATTGACTTAGAGTCACCAAACTTTCCCAGGGGCGAGATCTCCCATGGACCCACCTACCCTGTAAATTTGTCGTTTCTAATTATGGAAAAGGCCCTCGCCTGGCGAGGGTTAATCCTACATGTATCAAATTACCAAGAAGCCATTGCAGTACTAATCAGTGGCGAATCCCAGGGGGGAGGTCACATGGGTCATGACATTGGGCCTGGGGTCACCACATGCCTGCCAGGAGCACCACAGGCCTGACAGCCGACAGGGGCACCACAGGCCCGCCAGGGGTACCACAGGCCTAGCAGGGGCACCACGAGCCTGTCAGTGGCACCACAGGCCTGTCAGGAGCACCATCGGCCTAGCAAAAGCACTACAGGTCTTCCAGAGGCACCACAGACCTGCCAGGGGCAACAGAGGCCTGCCAGGGGTACTATCGGCTTCGCAGGGGAACCACCAGCCTCGCAAGGGCACCATGGGCCTGTCAAGGGCACCACAAGCCTGTCGTTGGCACTTTAGGATTGTCAGGGGCACCACAAACCTGTCAAGGGCACCTGCGTTCTAACAGGGGCACCACAGGCTCGCCAGGGGCACCACAGACCTGCCAAGGCCCAGGGACACCACAGGCCTAGCAAGGACACCACAGGCCTGTCAGGGGCACCACGGGCCTGTCAGGGCCCATGGGCACCTAAGTCATGTGCAGGGCCCACCGTGGGCTTGTCAGGGGGCAGGGTAGGGTAGGTAGGTACCACAATCTTTCCAGGGGCACCAGCGGCCTAGCAGGGGCACCAGTCATCACACGACTAACCAAAAATAAAGAAAATAGAAAACTGAAAATAGGGCACCACCAAAATTAAGTGGCCGAAATCCGTTGAGGTTTTCATTTTGGGTATAGGTAGGGGCACCACTTCGATTCATGACCCTTCCCTTGGAGTTTTCCCGAATCCGCTCCTGGTACTAATACATCAAATTTAAGGGGGGGCACCTTGCTATTGGTGCCCCCCTTGCAGAATTCAAGGGGGGGCACGGTGCCCCGGTGCCCCCCCCCCCCGTTCCGCCGCCTATGCCTCTTTCTACCCCAAACCAAAGCAAACCGAAGCTGACCTGACGTGACCTGACCTAATGTAACACGCGTAAATATGTACAGCCCTCACGGTAGTTGCCGACTGGCCAAATGCTACCTAGATAGGTACGAACATTACCTAGCCCTCGCGACAGTTGCCGGCTGGCCAGATGCTACTTAAAAAACAAATGGGTGTTGAACACTTCAGGCTGACCCGCTGCGAGCCAGCGACCTTTAGATTTCGAGGTGGGTACACTCGGCACACTTACTACTAAGCCACGAAGATAGCTGGTCATCGTTAGCCAGTTTTTTAATGATGAAATTGGGCATTCTCCGGGCAGCGCCTCTCTTTGGTTGCAAAAAGAAAATACACCTGACTCTCTCAGCGCTAGGGGAGGTTTGGCCAAAAAAGGTATTAAAAAAGGAATTTGAATTGTAGATGGGGCGGTGAGGAACTTTATCGTGTGCCAATTTCATGGCCCTAGATCAATATATTCAAGATCAAATGAGGTTAAACGTAGGTAATCAAATTTGCTATTGGTGACTATTTTGCGTTTATACGCCCATAGCTCTAAGCGACTCTGGCCGATTTTCCTATTTCTTCCTTTATACGACATTTGTGGTGTTATGAGAATCTCTAGTTAATCTTACCATAAATTTGGCAGTTTGTGGCTTGCTAAGAGTAAGATGTCGCCGGCAGAGGCGGGGATCGGCCGACGCGGGAAACGTCATAGTCACATATTGTGTTTGCAGTTTGCACCCTAATAATTCAATTTTACCAGTTGATTTTCATATTTATTTGAACATTAGATTGCCTGTACATTTTAAAGCCTTCACACAAAATTTGACACGAATCGATCTTAATCAGCGGTAAGAAGCGCCAGGGGCGCGGGAACTACTTTCCGACTGGGGGGGCACACCATAATAGAGATTAACCTACTATGCATTTCAGACCCCATGAGACCCTGTTTTTCGGCGATAATTTATTTAATATTTGTCCAATTTGCTTCAAATTTTCACAATGCACATTTCAGCTCAAGCGCCAATTTTTGTCAATATGGTCTCTTAACAAAATATCAAATGTTAGGGTACTTGTCGTTGCCTCGTAATGTTAAAATCGGCCCCGTAAATCCGTCAGTGGAGTAGAGGCTATCCGTGCGTAGGTGTGACGTCACAAACACGTGACCATTAAGCTCCGCCCTCCCGGCGGACGGGGCGGTGACCTTGGCCGGTCAGTCGGCTGCGTGGAGCGGGCGGGGCAGTAGCTGTCGCACCGGGGCGGCTCGCATGGAGCGAAGCTGCCGTGCAGTTGTCGTTACAGCCGTAACTTCATCGAATGAGCTAAATAGCGCGCATAAGTAACGCACTAGCTGAAGCCCTTGACTTTCCATTTATCACAAATGTATACGTACACCTTGTTCAGTCACAACAAAATATCTATTTCCACACAAGATTCGGGGCTTGTGAAAAAGCGCACATAAAAAACGTTGTTGATTTCAAATGATTGCGTAAAATTATGTATCGTGTCAGACTACGTTCAAATTGCAAAATAGAATCACCATTAATAGGATGCAATTTAAGTGTTTGATATATGAAATTTGATTAGGAATGTATGCCGGTGTGATCGATTCATATCATCCCGGTGCAACATAAGCATTGAACACCTTCAGGAGTAATCCATTTTGTCATCGACTTCGGTTGAGGAGGTCGCCGGACTAACTTTACCCCCAGATCTTATGTGTTGAAATGCAAACATGAAAAGTAAAAGCCTAGAGAATAGAGATAGTTACCTCAGGCGCGGATACAAGGGGGGGGCCATGGGGGCCATGCCCCCCTTGGCCGATTTTTTCCAAAAATAAAATAAAAAGTTAAAAAGTTAAAAAGCTGAAAAGGGGGCCTCCTGAAAATAAAGTGGCCGAAATCCGATGAGTTTTTTTTAACCTACCCACTTAGTTATTTTTTAGAAGACTAGCTGAGAAGACTTCTTTGTTAGAAGATTGGTAAAGCTTTTCATAACTTGGAGGTCTCTTATACTCACAGAGATGACCACTTTTACAGGGCCTCCTAACCTGCACAGAGGGCCTCCAAGCCTGCACAGATGTTGAGATGTTGCCTGAACAGCTAGATAAGCTCAATAGACGCAGTTTTTTTTGGGGGGGGGGGGGGCCCAACAAGTGGGAAGATGGGGCCTCCAACAGGTGGGATTATGGGGGGGGGGGGCTCCTGGTTTCTAATGGCCCCTCCCTTGGAGATTTTCTGGATCCGCCCCTGAGTTACCTCACCATTGAGGACATACCTACTGCTACATAAGTTTTGCAAACAAAAAAAA